CCCGCAGGTGCTCGCTCAAGCTCTGGCCCAGCATGCCTTGGTCCCACGTTGCGTTGCGCACCCGAGGTCCCGCAGATCGGGAAACGCGACAGGTTGTCCAGGTACTTCTCCTTGTACAGCCGTCCTCCGTCCTCCACGAAAACGACGGCGGTGATGGAGGGCAGGAAGTGACGAGCCGCCGCCACTCTTTGCGCCGCAGACGTCGCACCGCGACCCGGGTGAGCCTCCGTGGTTCAGGGTGTCCCAAAAGCCGTAGGTGTAGCGGCGGAGGTCCGACAGAACCACCGTGTAGTCCCTCCACAGCGAATGGTGGTCGACGACCCTCTTTCATGAACCTGCAACAGGTGCGGACCGTGTGCTTCTCCTCCGTGGACAGGTAGCTGAATATGTAGACCCAGATTTCAGGAGGAAGCCGCTCCAGCTGCTCCATCAGAAGACTCACCGTGCGCGGGTCAAAGTGAGAGCTTCAGCGGGGTGAGTCGCTCTTTAAGACGGACAGCTCGAGTTGTACCTACATGGTGTACTTTAAACCGAGACAGCTTTTGTGACTGCCATTGTTATTTAGTGCAATTTCAAGCATTACGAGCGCATGCATTGCGCACCGTAGATTTGTTTTGGTTTTGTTTGTTTTTTTAAAGCGTCGCGCTGTGATGACGTGATAAAAAGCTTTTTTTTTTTTTTTTTTTTTGGAATCGTCTAGAAAATAAAATAAAATTGATAAACATTTAAGTTTTATTTGGAAGAATGTATTGTTTGATCTCGTGGGAAATAGTACACAGTTCTATTGATTTTATTGGTTGAATTTACATTATGAACAGAATATTACATTATTATTTACAGTCTATTATTCAAACAGTAGACAGAATATTACATTATTATTTACAGTCTATTATTCAAACAGTAGACAGAATATTACATTATTATTTACAGTCTATTATTCAAACAATAGACAGAATATTACATTATTATTTGGTTAATACAGTATCTATGGTTCATACAATAGGCTACATGAATTGAATTTATTACTCTGAAAAACGGAAGGCAATAGAAACCATTACAGCTTCTTGTACCAAACGTTTAATATCTTTACATGAGTCCAAAATCCCCTGTCGTAACGTTTACATTCATTTGTTTACATGATTTGCATGATATTGTCTCTTTGTATACAGAAGAATTCTGAATGCTACCTATTGTTGTGAATAAAGGGAAAAATCTAGGACATAAAATACATTTATCCATTTGTGACATTTTTATCAAATATACTTAAACTACTAAAATGATACTACACTGTAGTGATGCCCAAAAGCAAGTCTTCACAAAACAAATGACAACTTTCCATCAGAGTTGCAATGTTTCAATATAATTCTTAATAGTTATTTTATTCATGTAATAAATTCCTTTATATTCATTTCTCAATTAATTACAAGGGGTGCAGTTAAAAGGTTTAGCATATGCAAGAATATTGACAATCAGCCAATAGCCTACTGTCTTAATGTGAAATATTACTTATCTGCAGTTTTACACCTCTCCAGTTTAATTCTCTTCAAGCTCTGCACCTAAAACTAAACCGATTTAGTTCTCTTGTTCTTCTTTTATTATATTTTACTGAAGTAAACACAGGGAACCCACAGCTAAAAATAACCCTGAGTCTCACTTATGTTGAAGTTAAAGAATTACAAGAGTACTCATTACACAGAACTCTTCCTTTAGTACCATTCACATTATATTTCAGCATTATAACTTGCTTTTTTCATTACTTTAAATACAGCCTGATTGATGGATATCTACATTTATAATAATATTTGGTAATGTATTAGTTAATTGTATGTTGTTTCAATAATCTTAATCTTCACAGTCATAAGAAAGTATGGCCGTCAAAAGAAAGTGCATTAAGACAGTATAACACTATCTGAATTGTAGAAGTAGAAGAAGAAGCACAAAATGCAAATACAAGTATCTAAAAATTGCCACTCCTGTACGTTTACTTTGTTTCATTCCAAAAAGTATTTAAATACAGGACTCAGCAGTGGGTCGCGGATGTGTGCCTGGGGGAAAAAGTACACGTTGTGGCTCCAGTTGCAGAGTAGTTTATTCACACTCCAACACAGAAGGTGGCAGTAATGCACCGTAACACTTGTTGCCACTCAAAATTAAAATATAAAAAAGAAGGGAAAGGCCCTGTTTAAAATGTACCATTTTATTTTGTGATTTTGAAATCCAGTGATGTTTTTGATCTACCTTGGGTCCAAATTGCACAAATGTTCATTCAAGTTTTCAGAATGTTTTTGAGAGATTTGTCATTAAAGAGGTGGTGTTGGGTCCTGAGGTTTGATCATTTGAGAAACTCTGTTTTACATCATCATTCTCCCAATTGACTAAAGACAGGGATGTGGGACGCCACAAAGAGATCCAAGAAACAGAGGGCAGGTGTAAGTCATCTACAAATGAAACACATTCAAGCAATAAAACATTGTCTTCCTTTTTCACCCCTCCGTTTACCCTCAGCAGAGAATCAGTGTCATGAAAAGTTTCATGTGTCCTGTTTGGCTCTGCAAGAAGAAAAGATGGACGTTGAAGCCAGTCATGAAAGAAACCGTGTCGCTCTCAGGTATGGCAAGACATCATTTTTCAAGTGACTCGGACAGTGAGTGACAACGTTAAAAGATTTCACCTTTGCAAACATACAATTAAGTTGTATCAGAATTATGTGTGCATCCGTTTCAGACAACATCCAGGCCTAAAGAAACAATTAAGAGAAAATGTACTTATTTCCTCTCTTGTTGAGAAGCTTTAAACCACTTTGGGTAAAAAAATAGTCTGATGAAGAAGAATTTTGTTTTTCAATTACTGATGAAACCCAAAAGATTTAACATGTAATTGACTAAGTTTCAGAAATGCTGCTCAGCGAAATTGGTAACTACTAAACAGAGGCATGCTAGCAGTTTGTCTCTGCTTCCAGTCTTAGTGCTCAGCTAGGCCAACTGGCTGCTGCTTCATTCTAATTTTGTAGACAAAAGCACTTTTAATATTCTCCTCTAATGTTCATTAAGAGAGTGAAAAGCATGTTTCTCAACGTTTTGAACTGTTGATTTTCAATGAGAAATTACAGACTGCCTCCAATGTTAATTTGTCAAGCTTCATTAGGTGGGGCTCTAGTTTCTGAGGGTAAATCCAAGTCTATCTGTTCTATAAATTCCTGGAAAACAAACTAAGCGAGGTCACACCAATATCCAGAAAACAATAGGTCAGAACAGGATGGTTTCTTTTTCTAACTGTAGAAGTGTCCAAGAGCAGTGTGAGGTTTTAATCAAACCCAGGCAGACCAGGAGGAGAAACAATTATTATCATATCTTGGTATTCAAATATTCATAGAGCAGTTCTATGTACACACCAATAGACTTTATTTATACACAGCTGATAAACACATCTGGGAGACAAACTGGAAAAATATGAACATATTCATCAGCTTTCTAACTCTCCATCTGCAGCAAAACTGTCCCCAGGACTTCTCGGAATCCGAGACAGAGCCAACGCTTCACCCAAAGGAGTTATTTAGGAATATTTATGGAGTCTATTTAGTCTTAATACAATATCAGACACCGAGAAACACCCACAGTCATTTCAGTAGTCATTCATCTTGGTTCAAAGGCAGATACCGGTGTTTTTTTTTGTTAGTCCTTTCAACCTACAAAGCCTCCTTCATGTTTGTCAGTTCACCTCCATTCTTTTTGTTTCTCGTCTACTGTGACGGTGAGAATGTCAGGATCATCCACCCGATCACAAAGTAGAAGAGGAACACCGGGTACACCACCAACGCCTTGCGGTTTGGCGGCTGGCTGTCAGCGAGGAATGCCGTGGAGGCGAAGGTGGACCAGCCGAAGGACGCCGTCACCACCACGAGCCGCACGGCGAAGCTGACCGTCCCCGTGCCACCGACCAGGACGATCCTGCACACCGCCATGGCTGCTGTCAGAGGCATGATGCAGTATCCCAACACACACAGACTCTGGAAGAAGGATATGGTGCCTCCCAGAAGCTTGGAGTTGAGGGTGATGATAATGGAACCGAACCAGATGATTACAAAGACCTGGAAAACAAAATATATATTTTTGGTGAGGATGCATAGGAGAGATTATTTCATATGAGCAAATATTAGCTACATAAATATTAGCAACCAAGGTAGACTAATCTTCAGACAGGATTCTGACACGGATACAAGCTTGTGACACAAGATCTAAGAAGATTAATCAACGTAATACAGGTTAACAACAGTGAGAAAGTTAAGAAATGAAGCAAAAACGTGTTTAGTTTCTTAATTTGCTTATTTTAGTTTATTCAGTGAAAAAGCTCATTTAAAAAATACTTGGCTCATTGAGCGCCTAAATATTTTGAGACCCATTCAAGTTATCATAGGTACGTTTTCTCTGATGAGATTTGCAATTAAACAATGTATTTATATTCCCAATGAAACGACCACAATGTAACCTTTGTAGGTAATAAAAGATAAAAAAGTGTGCAAAGGAGATTAATATGAGTATGCAGGTTTTGTCTGCGTACATTTGTTCGCAAAGATTTAGATCGTCATATTAAAATAAACACCATAAGTAATAATATCATCAGGCACAGTGAATGTTTAGATCACAGGGTCATTGTACTGCGTTTCTTCCCGATACTGTGGGACAGCTGATTGTGTCAGTAGTCACCTCTTTTGATTTGTTTTCAGACTTGTCTGTACAACTCTGTTTTTGCACATTTACATTTAATCTTTCATATTTAATTTACAACCATTTATGACTCTGTTTTTTGCACATTTAAATTCAATCTTCCATATTTAATCTTCCTATTTAAGACTAGTAATGCTAAGTTAAATCCTGGTTGTATATATTCACATTCTTAGTTCTGACATTTTTTAGTACTTATTTACTTTGTATTTAATATTATAATTGTGTTTAGATTTGCTAACATTGTGTTTTTTTTTACTCATATTGTGTGTTTGGATAACCTGCTGCTGTAACGCCACAATTTCCCAGTTTGGGATCAATAAAGTTATTTTATTTTATTCTATTATTGTCGCTGAGTTGAAAGTTTGGAACATACTCGTACGTGACATAACACAACACACAAATTATTTTAAAAAAAAAGTATGAAAGTGATTACTTCAGCGAACTGAGGTCCTCCCTGGTCGTCGCTGTCAGCGGCGCCTCCCTGCAGCAGCAGAGCCAGCGTCACGCACAGCAGCAGCGGGCCCCACAGGTCCCAGTCCCGCAGCAGAGCCGAGCTCCGCTTCGGGTACAGGACGTGGATGAACTTGTTCCCCACCGCCCTCAGGTCCCGCAGAATAGTCTCCTTCACCGGCTCGTCCAGCGTGGAGAACTCGTCGTCCCGCCGGGAGGAGCTCATGGGCACAGAGATGTCCCCCTCCACGGGGATGTCCTCCGAGATGGAGACGTCCGACAGCCCGGCGAAGGGTCTGCTGGCCTCCTCTGCTGACGCCATTTTACTTCAGCGTTTTAACGAGGATTGGATTTTTTTAGTGAGTTTTTTAGACGACAACAGTTGAGTCCATTTGATAAACTGAGAAGTCAGAAAGCGACTGAAACGACAAATGTCCCAATAAACCCGTGAATTCAGCTCCAGCTGACCCAGCCTGTCCGGTTGGTTGTGAAAGACTTTACTCCACGTCACCTGCGGATTGTTTACTTCCGTGGGACGTCATGGATATCCGGTTGGTGCGTTCACGTGCAGTTCTTGATAATCCGCTCATTTTTATTAGTCCTTTATTTATTTTATTTTTTTATTTAACCTTTATTTATCCAGGAAAGTCCCATTGAGATTAAAAACCTCTTTTTCAAGGGAGTCCTGGCCAAGAGGCAGCAAAAGTTACACAGTCACACTCACAACATACAGACAGTAATTACAATTATAAAATAAACAATTAGCAATTAAAATTATTTAAAAAAACAGTTACAAGTAAAGGAGGTTGTCTCAAGTGCTCTCAGCCTGGATTTAAAAGCTGTAAGAAATCAGTTCAGTTATTTTCCAGTCTTTTTGCAGCATGTTCCATGTAGAATAGAGAGAGAGAGAGAGAGAGAGAGAGAGAGAGAGAGAGAGAGAGAGAGAGAGAGAGAGAGAGAGAGCATTTTTGTTTTATCTGCTGATGTTACAACACGGCCTCTCAAGTAATGACAGAAACAGTATGAACAGTATTGGTAAAATCTGTTCTGTGATTATCGGCGTGAAACTAAGAGATACGCGTCCACTTCGCTCTGCCAATGAAAGGCGTCTGATCCAACCTTCACAACAAGTCTCTGACTAGACTCTTCTCCTCTGTCGCCCCCCGGTGGTGGAATGAACTTCCAGTCCCTCTGCACCTTTAAGAAAAAGCTAAAGACCCAGCTCTTTCATGAATACCTGCTAACTTAATGATGATGGTCTCGATATCATTGATGATGATGATGATGGTTGTGTAGATTGTTTTTGTTTGATAACGATGACTTATAAGATGGTTTCTATACTGATTAGAGCTCTCAAGAACTGTCGACAATGTTGTGCTTTGCCTCTGGTCACTTCCTGTCAGCACCTGTGCGTCCAATCAGACTCAAAGCTGATCGTTTGTTCCCTTTTTTTCTAGATCTTTGCTTGTGTTGTTCTTACTCTCTGATGTACATCGCTTTGGATAAAAGCGTCTGCTAAGTGAATCGTAGAATTGTACAATATGAATTCCTTTCGTAAACCAGCAGATTCTCAGGAAAGCTGAAAGTATTTTAGTTTATTCTGGGCATATGATTTTAAATGAATTTTCTGTGCTGCCAGGACGTCGTTATGTTTTAAAACTAACACCCATTCTAAACCATTCATTCCCTTTTACAATTTGATGCCCCTTATAGGTTTTATATTTATTTACTGACTTTTTGTCATTTAACTAGCAAAGATCAATTTTATCCTTTTATTTAACTGATTCTTTTATTGCTGAATTCGGTCTGGTATTTTTTTACTCTATTTATGTATTTGCTGTATGCCAAAGCACTTTGTAAACCTGTGTTTTAAAGGTGCTATATAAGTAAAGTTATTAATTGATTTACGAATCAATCTGTGTAACATTGGTATCTTTTTATTGGTCCTATTTAATATTTGCTTTTTTGCTTTTTTTTGTATAATTTCTTGTCTGTACATCACTATGTTTTATATATCGTTTTTTTTTTTAAATTTATTTATTTATTTATTTTTATGTACAAGCTGCTCCATACCAATAACCCCAAAGGGGATTAATACAATTGTTTGAATTGAATTAAAAACGGAATTGTTTTGATCAAAACAAAAACATTACAGATTTTTCATCAGGGTTCAGTTTTTAGTTGTGCAAAAGTATATTTTACTAATAAAACTGATTCGAAAACTTTACCATAAGATACTGTGTGTGTGTGACTAGCCAATATTACTTTCATGGATTTTGGTTTACAAACAGTCGCGACGACAGTGAAGGCATCGTCACTGTTTGGGAAATGGTCGGGGACTGATGACGCACTAACCCGGAGACAGTCGAGTTTTGTGTTTACGTTGTGGAGTAACACATGTATTAACACATGTATTAACACTCAGCTTGTATGTAATCGTCGGTAACTTATTTTAAATCAGCAGCGAGATGGATACATTTCGAAAACTGGTGAAAACCGACTGTGATGAGATCCTGAGGCGCTTCAGGAGTACAGAGTCTGTCCGTTTCGAGATATTCTCCAAGATATGGAGGGAAATGAAGTTCTCACAGATTTTCTAGTAGGTTAACCTTTAGAAACATCTTTTTGTTGTCAACTTTCTGATTCCTGCTCATTTTAGGTACAAAATCAAAGCTCATATTGATGATGTCCCATAAATCCTACTTCGTAATTAACTTATTTTATAGCTGCATTGCTTACAAACAACCCTGTTACGTCTTGTAGTTGTCTGTCCTGTTCTCATTATTATTATTACACACCAATTTACATATAATTTTCTTTAGTTAATGTTCAGGCTCTAAATGTTAAAGGATCTCTCTTAAGGAGGCAACTTTTCTCTACCAGGGCTGTGTCCAGACTTAGAAAGTGTGACATTTGTGTGATTGATTGATTACATTTCAAACATATCAAAAATACAAAACAAAATGAAAAGCACGAAAATACAATAAACAAAAAACAATGTTCAAATTATTTCACAAAAAAAAGAAAATTACATATATTCAATTGATATGCCTGAACAGGAGTAGGAAGAAGTATAACACTTATTTAATCCTACCCCTTTTCCACAGCTCAACAATTAATATTTATTAAATTAACTTCCTGTGTTCCTT